CAGATCTGAACACAACCATGAATGTGAGAAAAAAAGTATTCATTCCTTTCAGTAAGAAATAAAAATCTATAATGAAAAATAATAGAAAGCAATGATCAATCCGAAGAAGGATTGAATCAGACAATCAGACGAAGAGGAGGCAGATCTAAGTAAAATAAAAAATATTCAGACATGATTCAGTGAGTTGATTCAAATATTTCTTTTAAGAAATCAAAAATTGTGATCAACGGAGTTTGTAATTGTTTTCTTGCGTTCATTAATATTTTTTATATTTCTTAGTTCAATGGGAACTTGATTGACAAGTTTCGGTCCAAAGTAAGTAACAAACCTTTGGGTATATACGTTTTTACAAAAAGAAACACATACACGACACCCGAGATTTGGCTCGGGTGTCGTGTATGTGTGTCAGATATGTGAGAAGCGAGTTCAACGTCCATAGTACACAGTGATAGGTGTATAATTTTCTGATATTGAATAAACTAGCCCCCTTATATAAGTTACCAGTTGAATGTCTTCTATCTTTTTTCAATACTATTTTAGGCAATGTGTTTTGAATCACTTGAAGATTATATAAGTGTGTTTTATTCAACCCACCCCAAACAATAATACAGTACCGTACCTTATAACTGATTCAGCTAATGCATCGTATGTCATCAGTAATAAATATTTTTTCAGTATGTTTCTGAGTTGGTAGAATTTAAAAATAAGTTTTTCAAGTCTTTTCAAGAAGAAATCTACATGTTTGTCCCAGGGTACCTGTTGGTAAGCATCACACCCAGATATTTTATTGTATCCGTTTTCTTTATACGTGGACAAGAAGAAATTATAGGAGTTTGGCAAGTGGGGGTGTGTATGAAAATGTTTCCCTCTAGTGGTGGGTCTCTTATTGTTGATGAAAAGGTTAGGAATTTTGTTTTATCGACGTTTAGACTCAGGAGACTGAAATTTAGTCACGAGAATATAATGTTCAATCCATTTTGTCCTTTTGCATAAGTAGAGTCCCATGCGTTACCATAGAAAATCAATGCCGTATAATCGGCAAATGAAACAATATCACCATCAAAGTCCTTCAGGTTGTAAAAGCTGTTAATATTCGAAATAGTATTGGACCCATGACAGTTCCCTGGGGAACACCCATGGCGACTAGTTGTGTCTCGCTATAAGTGTCGTATTTTTGATCCTGTGGGTTCTGTTTTGTAAATAATCAGCTAATAGTTCTAGAGAAGAAAGGGAGAAGAAAGGAAAACTTTTATTAATGTTATTAAAACAAACATTTCAATTTGTATTTTAAAACTAATCTAAGTGAAGGATAAATGTGGATGATTTTTAACAAGTTTGTTAATATCAGGCTGAGAATTACTTGAAAACAGCCCTAAGTCACCGCGTTCGGTAATCTGCAACCGATTTCTATTTTTAGTTAGCACAACGTTGCCACAACACTAAATCCACGTTCACACAAATACGATGATGGGAATGCTATCAAAAATCATTGAACGATGGACCGCAATCCAGGGTACAAAATTCTTGGTATCCATTTTTGAATTTTATTTTTATTTCCTCGTTCGTTATCAGTTTCATGAGTTCTTCTTACAGCTGGGGTGATCCTGCTGTGTTGATATTCGAAAAAGGATCCAACACCCTGGAATCGTTCTGCGAAATCACTGTGGAGGTTTTCCAAATGTTGGCAGTAAACAAGCAAGTCGTCATTGTTGAAGGATACTGCTGACAAATTAGAGAAATTGCGAAACTTTCTTTTTTTTCCAAGAACTCTATCACAGAGTCAAATAGATGGTAAAATCGAGTCGGACAGTTACCTCTTGATAACCAACGCACTTCTGTGTGAAATAGCAATCGATTGAAATATTCATCATTAGCAACACAAAGCTGATTAAATAATCTGTCATTTAAAGAGCCGTTTCGGATTTTATTGACTACTTTGATGATATATTGCAGTGATTGAGAGAGGCGCTCACTCAAATTTTTCGCAACCAAATGTTGCTGTCATAGCCGGAGCTCCATCTCTAGCAGCTGATATAATATTCTTCAGTAGAATTTCTTTCTCATCACAAAATTTTTCCAGTGTATTATATATGGTTTCTCCTTTTGTATCCGTCTTCGAATTTCTGGCAAACAGTAGTTTTTGATATATTTTCTCATTTTTAATAAACCTCACGTATGACAACAAAAATGCTTCATTTGTTGGTAAAGTGGACTCATTTAACTGAATTGAGAATTTAGAAGTCTTCAGATGATTGCACAATGACTCTTCAATGTTTTCAGTCATCTCATCAATTCGTCTTTGCACGGAACTATTACTCAAAGGAATTTTTAGGATAATATCTGCCGCTGGTTTATGGAGCACAGTAGTTATTACTTATTTTATTTTCGGTAAAATTGAATCCTCTTCAATAGTGTGAGGTTTACCTGTTTGAGCAATTAGCAAGGAGATATTGTAGGAAGCTCGGAGTCCGTCGTCGTCTTGCTTGAAAGCCGCTGATAAAAGTTTTGACACAGTTGGCTAAGCTGAGTGTAGTTTCCTTTCCAGTTTTTGAAAATAAGTCACACTCTTGTCTGAATGCATTTTATTCAAATGATCTTGTAGCCTTGAGGGTTTCATCGCTTCAGTAGAAGATGTTTTTTGACAAAGAAGGCACACAGGCGAAGATGGATTCGTGGGATTCTTAATAAATCCATATTCTATATATTCCACCTTATACTATACCGACATAATTTTGTCTTCAAAAATTCTGAAGTAAAGAATCGGGTATTAGAAACTTGCTAATGACACAATTCACTGTATTCACCACCTCACGTACACCACTTTACCTAGCTAGTCGCTAACTAAATTCACTTGTTTTCGTATAATATCGTCGAATGACATTACTGGCTGGATGGCGGGCGCGCTTTTATATGAGGCAGCGGGCGGGCCTAGTACTTTCGGGAATGGAGACGAGAAACTTCTTGCTTCCCTTTGAAGCTTACCGTCATCTATTGTACAGTTTGACAACTATCGGACAGAAAATAGTTAATGTCTAGTCCCCTAGATGGCGTTACACGAGGAAACGCGCGTTAAGCGTAAATGAGCGGTAAAGTTTGTGTTAAAAGCAAAAAAACATTTTTAAATCAGCCATTGTCCCCCTAAACCGCTTCAACGCCTCCAATCTTCTCTGTGCCCTATAGGCCTCCAGCGCCCACAACTAGTCTATACAAATATAACTAGTTGAGCATATTTCAGCAAGGAACTGAACTGTTTGGACAGTTTCATTTGGCGGACATTCACAGAACGGAAGTGGCATACTTTTATTCAAACGCTGAATTATTTCAAAAAACCTTGTCAGTGACATTAAACAGAAGATAGTCATTTTATGTATTCTAAAAACACTTTATTGTGTGATTTTCACTAGATAGTTTTACAAAAACGCAACACGTATTGCGTTTTTGTAAAACTATCTAGTGAAAATCAAGTGTTTTTAGAATACGTTAGTTATGGATTTTCATCAAGTATCGGCCGATTCCATCATATATCAGATAGTCATTTTCTTTCCAAATAAATTTTGAGCTTCTTTTTGAACCATTTCAATTATGTATTCAAAATAATATCACCATTGTGTTTATTTTTCATTAAACAAGCCAAATTTGAATTCTCAAAAACTTACGTCCTTCAAACTTTGTTCCAAATGATGATGTTTCATATTACTTCAAGATTTCATCATGTTATTTTGATAAAATTGAAACGAACCATTTCAATTATGTATTCAAAATAATATCACCATTCTGTTTATTTTTCATTAAACAAGCCAAATTTGAATTCTCAAAAACTTACGTCCTTCAAACTTTGTTCCAAATGATGATGTTTCATATTACTTCAAGATTTCATCATGTTATTTTGATAAAATTGAAACGACAAAAAAGAGAAAGATAATGTTTTGTAGTGCAAAAGAAAATATTATATTAAGTTATTGTGATAATCCACATTATTTGATGAATACATTTTGTTCACATTCAACTCGAAATTTCAAACTCTCATATTTAATTTGGGAGTGGTAATAGTAAATGAGAAAGTGGTTTGTGCTCTTCTTTTTTCTCACTGGGTGCACGGAAACCATCAAGTTCTTTCATTCCCGCTTCAACAATTTTCCATAAAGTTGGATGTGCGAATTTGTACGAGTTATACCAGTTTTTAACTAGAGGCCAACGTCTCAAGTTGACCTTGGCAAATTGGAGACACATGGTCGTTGCTACCAATTGAAAATCTGCAATTGTCACAGTATCTGAAAACAAAAAAATACTGATTTCAACTGAAAGTTATTGCATATTCAATATCTTTGGAAAATAAGGTGATGGTAACGAAGAGAAGTGATAATTCAAATACTGAAACAATGTTTGTACGATCCCATATCTGAGTGAAATATGCAATGCAATTCATAAATAATGGATAAATCAATTTTCTATGTCATTATAGTATACGAGTAAAGGTCTGAAATATCTCAATTTTTCAACTTCAAAATTACATATATGATATACTTTTTGTACAACTGTCATTAAAAGTGACTTTTTCAATGGTTGTCAAAAGTATTAAAAGATGATGTTTACAAAGTAGTGTTGAAAATATTTTCAACAATGTGTTTAAAGTATTTTTAACACGAATTGTCTTGGCCAAATAACAATGAGCAAAACATAATTATTCAATTTTCAAGGAAGTCTTATTATGAGCAATAGATATAGATACAATTAAATTTTGTTACAAATGTATTATATACAGTGAGTACATTATTATTATCTTTTATGACCATTAATATGAAAAGCACAATTTGAACACCAACCTTGCGATATTGAAGAGCCTTGTAATATATTTGAACTATCTGAGTTGACAATTTCATGGGCATTAACATCTAATTTTTGAAGTGAAGAGGACGAAGTTCAAGCTAGCTGTTGGGATTATTCTTTCAGCAATAGCCATTTTATAAGAAATTTATTGATCGATGTAACCCTGAGCTACTATTATAGCATTCGATTCTCTCTGCTTCTTAATATCCGTTATTTTTGCTCCTGATTCTGCTAGCAAATAAGCAGAGGCCCTTCTGAAACAGTGACCTGTATATTCCTTTGGTTCCGGGAGGTTCAGAAACTCAGCAATGGTAGACGGCATTTTCTCAAACGTGTTTATACCAACTGGGTTGGCACTGCATTTATGATTTGAGTGTTTCAGAAAAAAACAATGCAAATAGAACGACCTATTTATGTTTTAATTTTTGGAATTTGAACAATCAATGATTTATCCATTAATTTAAAGTCTTCTATTGATAAATGACAAAGCTCTTCACGCCTGCAAGCTCCATATATTCCAAAAAGAGTAGCAATATTTATCATCAAATATTTTCGATCTGGCGCCTCATTTATAAACCTCTGGACTTGTTCAAACGTAAGAGTTTTTGATTTTTGAGGAATATATCTTTCATTTTTCCGCTTTAAGAATGCTATTACCTTGAAATATTTACATGTATTAACACCATTAACAACTTTATTTATCATTGAAAACTTGCTCCACAAAGTTGACGAGTTCCAAATTTTTGATTTCTCTTCTAGATAGGTTAAAAAGACGGTTTCGCAGAAATTTTGTTTCGATGTTTTTAAGTCTACACTAGCTGAAAAAATTAGAATATGCGATGGTTTGAAGGTGGTTGACAATGTTTCGTGGTGCATTTCATTAGTTCGGACTTCCATTGTCTAATATGATATAAATTGATTTGAAATACCTGAAAGACTCTGTAAAGAATTAAAAAGATTGGATTATATTAAGCAAAAAATCTGTAAACCAAACCAACCATACCAACAACCAAAAAAATAAAAAAAATTGGACTACCAACACGAGATGAAAAAAAAACCATGCCAACAAAGACGGATTGCGATTCCAAGAATTGCATTTACCGGATACCCTGCGAGTTCGGAGAATCATACATCGATGAAACTGAGAGGCCATTGAAAGTTTCCATTGTCGAGCACAAGAAACATACACAGCGAGGAGAAACCAGCAAATCAGGAAAAGCATAGCATGTTTGGACTCATCAACATAACATCAAGTGGGCTCAAGCTAAAATCATCCACAAGGGAAAACACTGGTTTAGGGGAAAATTCAAAGAAGCCGCATATATATTGTCCAACAACACATTTAGCCAAGCTAGCGTAGAGATACGTAACATATGGAAACATCTAATCAAGCGAAAAAAGACCAACTCCTGCCAAACGGTCATCTCCCGCTAAAACCAATGAAGTGAAGAGAGGAAAGAGGGAATAGGGGATAGGCGAAAGCACTCGAATGACCTATAAATAGTCAGATTTTGGAGGAATAAGTCCAGTTATCACCCGAAGACGATTGTGGATACTAACAACAAAAATCTTTTGATTTTTAATTTTCATTCTTGTTAATAACTTTTTTCCATCTCGTGTTGGTTGTTGTTTGTATTTCATTTAATTGTATTCACCGTTTTTTTTGCTTTATATAATTGTTATTTTTCAGCCAATCTCTTAAATGTTTTACAGGAATACACAATTCCTCACTATTGTTCTTCATTATACAAGACAGTAAACACCACCAGCAAGAACTTCATATGTGACTTTAAATAAAACGCGTGAGCTGTAAACAATATTATTTGTTGGTAACCAGATGATTCGGCTCCACCTGACACGGCCACTTTACAACATATGCAATTGAAATGAAAATATGTAGTTAACTGATAAGAGATGTCAAAATGACTATCATGAGACCACAAGTATATCTGAGGCACCAGCTATATTTGTGGTCTGTAATGCTCTTCAAACATGAGTCAACCTCTGACGGAAGCACCAAACTCTTACGAAAGTTCGAAATAGATACACACTTCAATCTAGCAGACCACCATTATAATGTGAGTCATCAGTCATTGTTCACTGTGGTTCTGGCGTTGAATCTGGTCATAACTACGCATTGGTCAAAGACGAAACGGACTAGTTTATGTTTGACGATAGCCGTGTCACTAAATATTCAGACAATATCTTGAATTTATTGAGGCCTCTAGAGCCACCTACATTTTATTCTATGAAAGAGAGGACATTGGCAAATCAAGATCTTCAGATGATGTGGTGCTGTAGGTTTTTTCGGGTTTTCCTGCAGCTGAAGAAGCAAATGCGCCACTGGAATCAATGAGGTCGCCCCGGAGCGTCAATTAATTTTTGTTGTTGTTTCATAATTTGTATTAGGTTAGGTCCAAAGTAGGGTGTCTATTCGACCCTCCACCGTAACCCGCAAGGGTTTCTGTATCTCTGTATCTGTAGAGTGGGGAAGGTGAGTGTAGGCACACAGCACTTAGGCCACATGTGACCCATTGTACATCCTTCCGAGGAGTTGTCTTCCTAGGTCATCGTCCATAATGTCCTTTCCAGAAAAGTGGACAGGTCTCTGGGAGACATCTCCTCCATCATCATCATCTCCATCATCAGGTGTAGGCCAAGACTCGCCGAACACACACACTCTATTATTGATGACAACTCCGGACATTCGCATAGGACATGCCTCTCAGTTGCATCTTCCTGTTCACACATACTGCATAGAGATAGTCCACTAGCCCCTAATTGTGGCCAGTCAGATATCCTACTGTTGAGCGTAGATTCTTCCTAGTCATCGTCAGATATTTCTTCGGCGCCAGCTTCCCAGGGTGATCCTGCCAAGATTGCATTCTTTGATTTCACCCCATCTCTTTAGGGATTGAGCATGGGTGTGACGTTTGATTAGTTCCGCAAGGGTTTATTGTGGCTTGTATTCATTGTAAACCTGATATATAGTTTTGACTTGTTTTTTTTTAAACAGATCCCAGCCTTGACCATAACAGGTTACAAACCCAGACAATGTACCTCACTGAATTCCGTATATGGTGTAGCTGCAGGTATATATCGTGAACTTGTTCGATTGATGACCTACTTACTTTGTAGAAACTAACTTTTGTCTGATTTCCACTAAGATTTTCATTACTTACGACCGGTCGTAACAAATAAAACTCTGAGTAGAAATTAGACAAACATTACTTTCCTTATCCTATACAGAGTGTTTCTTTTAGCATTAGTCCACAAGACCTTCACTTTTTACATACATGATATTGAAACTCAATTCATATTAAGATTTTTTGTAAATATATTTTAAAATGATGAAATAAGATTTGGCTTTGATTTGGCACTCAATTGTAGGGGACGCCACCTACAGGTCTTGGTCTCTTTTGGAGAATCACAACTTTGTCGTGCATGTTTATGTATGATATTCTCTGGAAGACAAATTGATTCCCCTATTATTATTGAGCGAAAAAGATACGATTGGCAAAAGTCGCTACAAGCAGCAGTTTTTTATATCAATCGATGTATCTAATTAGGGCCCCCGTAAGGGATACTGGCGCCTGTGTGCAAAAAAGGATTTTGGCGCCCCTTAAGGCATTTTGGATCATGTTTTTTTATTTATTTTTTGAAGGTAGGTAGGTGCTTGCAATAATATATTTGTTTGCTATTTGGACTATTGAAAATAAATTATATTTCTTCTAATTGTTTCCATGGCTTCCTCTGCAATTTATTTGAGCTAATATAACTTGAAAATTCAAAAACAGCTCACCCAAATGCCCAAATGATATCAACATATATATTTTTCAAATCAGAGAAAAAAAGGCTTTTATTTTAGCGCATAATATACACGGTGTTTTCTTAATGTGGATGCTGTCTATATTTTTTCATTTCCGATGCGATTTTGTTTTTATCTTATAACTTCAAAAGATAATATAGGGAAAAAAACCTACAACTTCTGCTCAAAACATTTTTTTCTATCTGACATAATGAAGGCTGTAGGCACGTAAATGTAGTCAAGGATCTTTGAGACATTTCAATTAATAAAAAGATATTTGGATAAACAAAAAATAATTATAACCAGTATCCTCTAAAGGGTTAATGTTGATAGTATAAATTAAAGTAGTGACCACTTACCAATTTATAAAAAATTAAACCGTTGAAATTGGAGTCAGCAGGTATTCAGCATTTGATTTTTTAGAAAAAAAGTAGTGAACAAAATATTATACAACACAACACTTGACAAAATAAAAATAACTTTAAATGTAATAATTAATAGGATTACTTTTTTTTATGCACTTGTTGCACGGTCCAGTGAACCGGTTTAAAAACGCCTCTGGCGATGAATCATCTCTTTTATAGCGCTCCGGGAAAAATCACCGCCTGACATGTTCTCGCAACATAGGAATCGGCAGTAACTGGATGATATACTAATAAAATTTCGTGTGTATTTATACCTAATCCTATTCAATTTCTCAACTTTCATTTTAAAATAAGTTTGTTTTTTTTTGAAAATTATTGCAATTTTTGACCCTAGATTTTGGCGCCCCTAAAGGATGGCGCCCGTGTGCATTGCACACTTAGCACATATGGTAGCGGGGGCCCTGTATCTAATCGTCATCTCATCGATTCACGAACTCTTTGAAAATGAAAGTATCAAGTAGGGTAGTACGTTTATTCCAATGTTTGTTTTTTTTTGCTGTCATGTCAAAAATAATATCTTGATGCATAGATAAATAGTCTTATTTGTTATTAGTGTGATGACTTGTTTGAAAAAGGTAAACTTCACCAATGCAGAATATGCTGCCATACATTTCACATACGGACTTGCTAAAGGACATGCATATGTGGTTAGACGTATGTCAGGAGCGTTATCCGAACTGCATGACTCCTACTTCAAAAAAATTTCCAATAAAGTGAACAGAAAGTTTTGAGAAAGCCAGTGATCTGTCGAATGCACATCGGATGCTAAGGACTTTTCGTTACGTAGCAACTTCTGTAATTGGTTTCAACAACGCCCTATACAAAATCCTTTATTTGAAAGTCAAATACTGTTCACCGACGAAGAAAATTTCTCACGCAACGCTTTACGCAATTTTCACATATTTTATTTGTGGTCAGAAGAAAACCCCCATGCAATACGGGAATCACATTTAGTTCTCTCTCAACGTGTCTGCAAAAAAACTTGAAGAGATTATTTAAGAGGCCCATTTTTTATTCCAAATAGATCAAACGGGGAGAGACATTGTCATAGTTTCGAGGAAGATTTGCCTATTTTACTGGAAGATGTGCCGCTTAGAATACGGAATGAAAGGTGATTCATTCATGACGGAGATATCCAAAGTTCTTAATTTACTAGGCTACTATTCAAAATGAAGAAGAATTATGACTTTCAATAATTAACCCTTGCAGATCAAAGCCATTACGTGTCGCGTCTACTGTAAGACGACGGTGGACTGAGCAATGAAGCGACATTGCCGAGAACGCAATACTAGCTGTTCTCCGGTGTTTTACCCGCGTTACCTTGGGAACCTTCCCTATGTGTTATTCCAGGTCATGATCTATCTATATACCAACCGAGATTTGAATCAGTTGAGCTGTTTAGGCGTGAGAAGTAAAAAACGTAAATACATATATTACATTCATTCACGCATATCAGTAGGAGTAGGAGTAGTAGTAGAAGTGGGATTAGTAGGATTATATCAATGTATTTCATTGAATTTCGTCAGTTTTGAAGTTGGAAACCTGAAGTTTTGGGTTAATGAAAAAATATTGTAACTATTTGTTTGAAATGGTCTGTCACGAAATTCATTGTGACAAACCAAAGTCTATGCGGGCGAAGCCGCGGAAAATAACTAATTCAAAATTATATGTCACAGTGAACAGAGACTAAGAGATATTTTGTTAGGTATCATTTGAAAATTTTCACAGGCGATTTCTTGGAAGCCACGAAAGTTATAGTTAGGTCAAGTTTCGTTTTTCTTACTGATTATTTTGAAAACAAGCGTAAGAATTGGAAATACAAACGGGAGAAGTCGCCACTAAAAGTAACCCGTTGTGATTTCAGTCAAACTGTGTGCTCACGAGGCCTAAATTGATTTCATATCGGAGGCCACATGTTGGTCTAGGAATACGGTGAATGCCTCTGATCTTGGAATACAGGGATGGGACGTGGTATGCAGAGATTGATGCCTTTTTCTACTTTCGGCTACTACTGCGGTAGACATTATCAAAGGCGGTGTTGTAATGGTAGACCGCAGAAGTAGACGAAACGCCAGATATGAAACCCTGCGGACTACGTCCAAGAAACTCAGGAAATAGTTTTGACACAGTTATTTCCAGCCGAGAAAGTTCACATTTTTAGACATAGGCAAGTTGTGAAATGAGAAAAGCTTCATCAACTGTGAGTGCTTTTGATGTGACAAAAATTACAGACAAATTACTCATGACATATAGGCATTCTCCAAGAGCTATGGCCGCCACTGTTGATGACCTTGATGCCTTTTGCAATTTTGCAACCGCATATTGCACTTTCTTGCACTCATCTGTACTATTATGGATGCCATTTCGCCAGAACAAGTATTTATGGTTCGCATTCTGAAAAAGTATCTCACTAAATAACCAAATATAAGTATTATCAGCTCGACAGTATAATGTAGTTGAGTGTATGGCTAGGCATATGGCTAGGTGTATGGCTAGCCATATCGCACATTTATGACTCCACATGGAACACCGTGAATACATGATGGATGTAGCCCTTGCCACGTGGTAGGAAATCATAACGAAGAAAAGAGAATTGAAATTTTCTATGTTTTTCACCACTTCCATTTGTAACTAACATTTCTGCAGTTTCGTCTTATAAGGAATTTTTTAAACTTATTATTATATAAGTTTGAAAATGTCCTTATAGGATAGAAAGTTTCAATTCTCTTTCCATTATTATTATTATAAATCATTGAGTTGAAAGGAATATATTTTTAGCAGATGATAATTTTTGGGAAAGAAACAATTTGGCTTCAAACATTATACAAAAAATTTTTGAAAGATCCTCACATGTTTTTGTACAAAGAAAATCAAAACATTCCTTTCCCAAAAATAATAGAACTACTTGATGATTTTCAAATAATCACTTCTCATATCTCCATTTGAATTCATCTCGCAATTTTTAATTGCCCTGAATGTTATTGAGGTCTGTTAGAAAGATTGATTTTTTTGCGTCAGTGGCATGGACTACTTTGGTCATTAACTTCGTATTCTGGGTAGGCAATGTTAATTACCTCCCGACAAATCTGGGAAGCATTATAAATTTTTCGCAATCCAGTAGTTATGTAGCGTTGTAGAATCATTCCAACTTCAACTAGATAAATTCCCTCTAGAAAAATATCTGTTCGAGGTAGCGATCGATATCAAATCCTTTCGATCGAGTACTGTGTACTACTACCGTGCTAATTCACCGAATGGATAGTATTATATTCACTTTCTTCTTGAAGAAGCTTCAATTATTCCCTTTTCATAAAGAAATAATTGAATTTTATAGAATTAAATATATAAATAATATCTGCTAGAAAAGAAATGTATGTTAGCGTTCAAAAACACTTCACTTCACGAACTACGAACTCTATTATCAAATAACACTATTTCATTGGTTAGCAGTCTCATCAAAACTAATTCAATTGGATGTTGAATAGACCAAAAATAAAATGCTTCTCACCTCCTGCAACATAGTCCTTCATAAGTAACTTCAAGAGATCGTGGAAATTATCCAGGGCAATATCCATTTTATGTTCATCCACACTAGATTTTGGATTATCAAGAATCACTGGCCCCAACTGAAAATAATTTTCATAATTATGTATATTATATGTTAAATATTTGCATGAACTTTCATTTGTGGAAGATTAACGTTATAAATATGAAAAGTAGTCCGGTCAACTACAGACGGTGAGTAATTCATCAAATTATATTACTCAAATTAATATACAAGTATATACAATTATATACAAGTATACAATTTCAAATAGGGACTCGAAAAAATTGATAACAACTTCAACAAAAAAATTTGTATTGATGAAAATCTGTTTGAAATCTGTTTTTTCGTTAACCAACTGTCGCACCACTAAGAACGACAACCCTCATAAGTCGAAAATCGTGCGAGCCAAGGACTAACAAGGTCTTATCTTCCAACGTGTGATTCCTAACACGAGTGGGACGATAGCAAGTGAATAACATAGACAACCTTTTATAATTTCTAGCATATACTGAGAGAAAATGAACTAATGAAGTTTTTTGCTGTATTTTGACTTGTAATGAAAATGTATCAAATTATTCTTGAAATTGAAACGAACCATAACAGAATTATTCATTTTGCAGAAACAAATTTTTAACAGTGGCAATAATTTTGTTCTGTTTAAAAAAAATCAAATTTGATCAATGAAACTCTGACCCGTAACTAACTAAAAATTATTAACACTATCCATGATGATAATTATAGAATTTTCATATTTTTTTAAATTGAAGACGTGTTTCGCTACACGGTAGCATCGTCAGTAACTGTTATATGGAACTATTATACATTTGTCTTCCATATAACAGTAAGTAATGACAAAACTAATCATATAAATGATTGAATCTGGTAAAACGGGTAGATTTTGAGAAAACAATTACAATACAATATTACTAATAGGAAAACAGATAAAGAATTGGCATTTTGTGTCGAACTAAATCAGAAGAATGAATACTTTTAGCAAAATAGGTAGATTTAGAAAGAATAATACATTTCACAATCAATACAATCAATATTTTTCAATCTACCTGTTTTACCACATTTGATTCTTCGTCTAATAAGTTTTGTTACATAAAAGACATTCTAGAAAAGTTTGATATACCAGTAACTGATGAAGCTACCTTGTAGCGAAACGAGTCTTCAAGTAAAATTCAATACGAATATTCTACAGGGTGTTCCTTAAACACATGCTAATATTCGAGGAGGTAATTCTTAGACCCATTTTAAGAAAAAAACTTCCTATGCCTCAACGCCTTAACTTTTGAGATACACGGTGGCAAAGTTTTCAAAAATAATCAGTTTTTTAATAATAACTGAGACAATTTTGTAGACATCTTTGGTATATTTGGTACATATGTTCCATGCCTCAAGGCGCATTTTCTGATGTACACAAATTTGTATTTTTTCAAACAGTGGCATCCCTACGGGATTCGCATTGAATATTTTTGGGGAAAAAGTACTACGCCAATGCTTTCTTTTCAAAATAAAATCATTTTTAAAATCCTCATTTATTTTTGAGAAAATT